TCTCCCCAGCAGCTTTCCCCCGTGTGCTCACATCCAATCAGGGTCTTCTCAACTCAAGGCTTTTCTGCGTGCACGTTCACAATGTGAGTTATGTGCTTTTACTTCCTGTGCAAGTTCTTTCTCTCTCTCTCTTAAAATCACATTTTCTCCTAAATTAGAAAGCCTCTTTAATTGTTAGCAGGAACTGAGTTTTTGCTCCTTGCATGGACAATATCATTAAACACTGGAAAATAAACAAACTGGAAAACATTAAGACATTTTCAAATCCTTTGCTTCCCAGAGGGTGTCTGGGGTCCTGGGCAGGACAAGGTTCTGCTGGCCTGGGTTTATACTGTGTTGATGACTTGACCCCTCCAGCTGTGAGAAGCCAAACTGACAGCAGGGTTGTTTTTACTAAACTTCCCAGGATTGCAAACTTGATTTGGGAGGCATTTGCGCTGAGGTCTCCAGCGACTGCGCCGAGCTTCCTCCGTGGGCAGAGTGCATGATGGGAGTGGCCAGTGGCCCTCGTAGCTGACAGCTGTTGTAAACCATCGCTGTCCTCCCGAGCTATTCCACAGGACCCAGGGAGGTGAGGGGAGCCGTGGGAGGGGTGGTGTGTGAGAACATTTCTTTCCATCTTGCTGAAATGTGAGTCTAATGAAATGATAATGAGGTTGTGGCCTTTAAGCTCCATTGAGCTTCTCGTGCATTGTAATTTTACCCAGAGTGGGGCTAGTTTTTGAAATGATTAAAACTATCGATTCCTAGGCATGTGTGGCTTGAATCGGAATTCATTAGAAGCCCAGAGGTGAGGGATAAACGTTTCTCCCCAGTTCAGCTGGGAAACTGATCTCATCTTGTCTGAGTCTCCTCCTGCCCGCCCACCCAGCTCTCCAGCAGACCCCTGGCAGCATAACCAGCTGGTGTGGGAACCCCTCGCAGTGCTGGAAGACAGACAATAAATAGGATCCAGCATCCACAGAGCGGCAAGTTATGAAAGTACCAGCCATGAGTCCTAGCCCATTTTCCTGGGACCTCTCCCTCCTGTTGGAGGAGGGAAGCTCTCAGTGTTTAGTCTTGGTCCTATTTTCTTACAGGCATTATAAGTGAAATGTCTTTTCTGTGAAAAGAAACACACAGAAACACAGAAACCGTCCAAAGTTTGACCCAGAAGAATCCTGGAAGGAGAAACTCCAGCCAGGAGGGTGGCTGACAATGTGGGGTGAACTTGGATCTCCTGAGTACCATCTTTCTTGGCATAGAACAAGGGGTTTCTCCCTCTGATTTTTGTTATCACCACCATTCTGGCTTCCAAGAGCATAAGATGACTCCTTTCAAGTTTAGAGCTGAGACAGGCTGGCATCTTAAAAAAATAACCTTACTTTGAAAATGGTATGGCGGTTTCTCAAAAAATTAAAAATAGAACTACCATATGATCCAGCAATTCCACTTCTGGGTATTTACCCAAAGGAAACAAAAACACTAACTCAAAAGGATAAATGCACCCCCATGTTCATAGCAACATTATTTATAATAGCCAAGACACAGAAACAACCTAAGTGTCCATTGATAGATGAATGGATAAAGAAAATGTGGTGGGGACTTCCCTGGTGGCACAGTGGTTAAGAATCCACCTGCCAATGCAGGGGACACGGGTTTGAGCCCTGGTCTGGGGGGATTCCATATGCCGCTGAGCAACTAAGCCCATGAGCCACAACTACTGAGCCTGTGTGCCACAACTACTGAAGCCAGCACACCTAGAGCCTGTGCTACACAACAAGAGAAGCCACCGCAGTAAGAAGCCCGTGCACCACAAGGAAGAGTAGCCCCTGCTCATCTCAACTAGAGAAAGCCCACGCGCAGCAACAAAGACCCAACACAGCCAAAAATAAAAATAAGTAAATAAATACATTTGTTAAATAAAAAAAAAAAGAAAATGTGGTGTACATATATACCGTGGAATATTATTCAGCCACCAAAAGAAAAAGTAAGGATATTATGCTAAGTGAAGTCAGACAGAGAAAGATAAATACTATATGATCTCACATATATGTACAGTCTAAAAACAAGCGAACAAAGAATAAAACAAAATAAAACTGAACTGGGTGAAGGGGATCAAAAGGTACAAACTTTCAGTTATAAAATAAATAAGTCATGGGATGTAATATACAGCATGGTGACTATATTTGTATATTTGTATATTTGTATATACAGCATGGTGACTATATTTGTATATTTGAAATTTGCTAAGAGTAGACCTTAAAAGTTCTCATCACAAGAAAAAAAAATTGTAACCATGAGGTGATGGATGTTAACTAGACTTATTGTGATCATTTCACAGTATATACAAATATTGAATCATTATGTTGTACATCTGGAACGAATATATTGTTATGTGTCAATTATACCTCAATAAAAATAAAAAATAACCTTATTTACTATTAAAGGAGACCAAAAAGAAAATAATTACAGAAAATGTCAATAGCATAAGGATGGGCATGCTTCCTAAGTATGGGTGTCTTCTGCCTTAGCGCTGTTCTTAGGTCTGCTTTTATGTTTAAGGGCTGAAGCAATTTATATACACTTGGCCTGGCTTCCTGCCTGTGTCCATGTGGGGTCCGCCATCTTAAAACTGGTCAATCTCCCCTCTTAATCTCCTCTCTGACAAGCCTAAGAGATCACATTTTAACGGCCCACCTGGGGCCTCCTACTCATGTGGAGGTTCTGGTCTGAGAAGAAGGTTTTATCCGTAGCAGCCTTGGGGGAGTGTAAATGACTCAAGGAGACAGTTGGGGTGCTGTTCTCCACATGGGGCAAAGCAGTCCGGCAAAAAGTCCCCTTGACCCCATGTCCTCCTTATTTTACAGCCTCCCTGGGCAATCGTGGTCATAAAATGCACGTCAATCATTATGTTCAGACTGGAGCATCAAGGTCTGCCTTCAAGGTCACACACACCATGAGCATGTCCATTTTGGAAACAGTGTGATATAGTTCCAATTTCCCTGCTCGCCTTTTTACAGGTAAGCATCACTGTTCCAAAGCTCTCTCTATACCAGGCGAGTGGCATGCCCTTCCTCTGGCTTTCCAAAGCACCACATGCATCTAGGGTCCTCCATATTATACCACATCTCACCTTTTTCTGTGTGTGGCCCCCACTAGACTGTGGGCTCCTTGAAGGCAGCGTTTGCATTTTATTCCTTTTTGCATCTCATTACCCAGCACAGTGTCTGTCCCAAAACATACCTGGGCAGATGACTGTTGACTGAATGAATGAAGGGAAGAATCCATGATGGAGGTCATTTGTCATTTAATTCTCAGGACAACCTTATGAGACAAGCAAGGCAGGAATATGAGCACTGATTTCCTGAAAAAAAAAAAAAAGAAAGAAACAGAGTTCCAGGAGGGAAGGGCCTTGCTTACGGTCACCTGATTTCTGGAGCTGGCGCCAGGGCTGTGGTGCAGTCTGGTAGGCAAAGAGGTGTGCATTTTGCTGCCCACACTTGCTGCTCTGGGGCTCCTAAGGAACCGGTTCGGTCTCTCCCGAGGTGCCACCTACACAGGTGGTTCCCGAGAGGTTCAGGTCAAGGTCCCCTTTTATTTTCTCCCCCTGCCCCACCTCCCATACCTGGGCATGAAAGATTAGACCTAGCAAACGAACTGCAATTATGCAGTAATAATGACTCCATTTTCTCCTTTTTATTAATAAGACACACATGCAACATGCCACTCAGAGCTTTCAGTTGACAGAAAACGAGTTCTATTCTATTCACCAGGTGAACAGACTTCCACCCAGAGGCCGACAGTTAACAAACCACCTTCTGGGCTCAGGGCTCGGCTGGGAGTCACAGCGCTGCCCTTGACAGCCTGTCGATGGGCCTCCACGGCCGCCTGCCCTGGGTCTCCGAAGTCGGAGGAGACAGGGGCCATTTCAGTTGCTCCCAGCGTGCCTTCCCGACCCCGCTGCAATCAGCAGACCTTGACCTCTGTAAGAGCGTTACTGCGATGTGTCAGCTGCTCTGGGAGAGCCCAGAGTGATGTATTCCAAGACCTGCCAGGAGAAAGCGCTTACGGTCAGTTAGGAACTCTAAGCTCCCTCCTGTGGTATTGTCGGTGGAATTTTAATACTCTGTCTCCCTCTGTCTGGGCACTTCCTTCCACTCTTGGCCTGCTCCACAATGCATATGGAGCAGGGCTCAGGTCTGAAGGTCCCTAGGGAGAGCACACGGTCTCACTCGGTCCAAGAGTCACGGCTGGAAATGGGAGGCGAAGCTCAGACAGGACTCCAGCCTTCCCGCAGGCCCTGGGCCTTGGCAGGGCCCCGTTCATTCTCCCGCGCTCCCTCCCCTTTCAAAGCAGGAGTGAGGCCCAGCACAGGCCTGAAGCCAGCCGACAAATGGAACCCTAGCCTGGTTCCTCCTTCCTTCCTTCCTTTATTCCGGCAACAAACTCTACCGAGGGCCTCCTTACTGAGGGCCCACGGTGCACTGGGTAAGGAGCTAGGAGCTGGGGCACTAGGGGGTCACTGTCCCAGTCCTCGTGCCACCCTCACTACTTCTATTCAATTCTAATCACCCTACAGAAAAAACAGACAGGGAAAGAGGGGGCTGTAAGAGAAAGAAGGTTGCTCGAGGGAGAGCGTAGCCAGGTGTGCCCTTAAGAGGTAGTGAAACAGGAAACTATGAATGGTTTGGGAAGCCCAAATTTCCCCCCTTCCTACAAAATGGGTCTCAGTCCTCCACTCCTCTCCCCAGGAAACTCATCTACCACATCTACGCTGATAACTCCGAAGTCTGTATTTCTCGCCCAAACTTCACTTTTGTGGGTCAGGGACCACTCCCACCCCCCTGACATAGGTTTATATCTATGTCCCCAGAGCCCAGTACAGTCCATGGTAGATGGTGGGCATCCAGGAATATTTGTTGAAAAATGACCAGTACCACTTCATAAAAGAGGCAGCTTCTACAGGGTCAATTTCCCTAATTTTCCCTTGTAACTCCTCTCACCTGTTTCCCCTCAAGAAATGACCATCCTGTGGCTACAACTCTCAAGACTGTTGCTTCAGCAAAACCAAAATGGAACTGGTGAGATTTCTTCATCCCACAGGGGACTCTTTGACCAATTTGGGGGTGGAAGGGGGTTGTCAGGACTTGCCTTTGTATCCTCAGTCCCCCAGCCCAGGGCTGGATTTGCATATGTTAATATGGAGAACTGGAGCTAGTTAATGAGAAGCAGTGGGCCATGCGGGTGAGCGGAATTCCTCAGAGTATTTTTTTCAGATGTCTTAACTCACTCTCTTTGTTGTATTTCGGCAGATCCAGGTGTTTGGATTGAGTTGGTCCTGGTCCCCACTCCCCTCCCCCAAATCTCTAAAACCACAGATCTTTCTAGATGCCAGACTCAGCCTTCTGTCCAGTGGGTGACGGTGGATGGCGGGAGCCCTCTGCCCACCTGGAAACAGCCTCAAGGAGATGGCCTGAGGGAGCGGGCCCTAGGCTGGAGAGCCCCAGGATGAGGGCTGGGGGTGGGGTGGGGCTGTTCCTGAGGGGGGATGGGGGGAGAGGATAGAATTCCAGAGGCAAGAACCCTCAACGGAGACAGCCCGCTGGGCTTCCAGCCCTCCATCTGGGTTCCACTAAAAACACATTTTGCGTGTTTCTGTTGTTCTTAAGTCTGGGTTTATTTCAAGGGGAAAATTATAAAGAAACATCTCTGCCTTTATTTCAACAGCAGCCTGTGCTTGGGTAGATTCTCATCTGTCTGGCCTGTTCTGCCTGAAGGTGAAAGGAGGGGGCGAGGGTGGGGTCCCAGAGAGGAGAGGCCCCAAGAGACTGAGGCCCTAGGCTCTGCCTGCTGCCAGTGTCCCACCTGGGAAACCTCCACAGACAGAAAGGCAAGTGACAGCATCCCCACAGGTATTTGAAAGCCTTCCTCTCTGAGCCCAGGGCAGCATTCAGTATGTGACCACTGAAGTGAGTCTGGGTATTTTCCTGATAGGAAGCCAGAGGTAGCAGAGGCCCATCCTGAGGATTCAGGTTCTAACCCAGTCTGAGAATCCTCAAGGTTACCTGGAGCCCTTGAACTTGAACCAGCCCTCACCTCAGAGACGCAGGGAATGAAGGTCAGAGCTAGAAAGGCCCTTAGGCACCTAGCCTGGTGCTGTCATTTCTCGGGTGAGGAAACTGAGGCCCAGTGAGGAGAAGCTACTTGCTCAGGCCACACAGAGGGTGGGTCAGTTGGTGGACCAGACCTACATCCCAGGTCTCGGTGCTGTCTGGTCCTTTTCTGCAACGCTGCTTGTGAGGGTAGGTGGGTGGCCAGATCTCCACGGAGGGGCCAAGAGCTCTCATAAACACATCATTCAGGGACTAGCATGTATGCATGCACGCAACACATACACTGGTCCTCGGACCCTGTCAGCAGAGCTCATCAGTTCCCGCACCCCCAGCAGAGTCTGGTTCCTCCAGGGTCATCTTGGACACTCAGGCTCTGGACAGACACAGGGACTCTGAACACCATGGTAGATATATGGTCCTGTCTTTGTACAGAGCTGATGTCAGACACAAAGAGAATTCGTAGCCCAGGCGCTAGGCCCTGGCCTTTACCCATAAGAGAGCAATTCTTAAAGAGCTCTCTCTCTTCCTCTGAGAAGGGCCTCCACAATGACTTAAGTTGACCTGCTTGGGAAGGACTTGATTGCCCCCTGGTGGCCGTATCTGGCCATACCTTCACGCCCCGCTTTCCAGGGCCTCAGCCTATTCCTTCAGCAAATTTGTACTGAGCCCCCTGCTGTGGGCCAGGAAACTGAGTGGTCAGTAGACTGTAGGAGATTGATATGCAAAGCAAGAATTATAATACAGGTTGGTTAGTGCCTATTAGAGAGGTAAGCTTAGGGTACAAAGTAGGCTTAGGCAAGGAGCCTAAGAAAGACTCCTGAAGGGGTATGGGCTGACATGCTTCCTGGGTTATGTGTAAGTACTCAGTTATTATTATTTATTATTATTATTATTTTGGAGTAGAAAAAGGTTTATTGCAGACCTTGCAAGGAGGTGGGTGGCTCATGCCCTAAAAAGTCATGGGCTTCCCAAAGGGTTTTGACAAAGCATTTTTAAAAGCCAGATCAGCACTCAATTATTAAGGTTCTCTTACTTGGGGTTTATAGTTTACCAAAAGGTTGCACTTGCATATTCTAGTTTATCCTACTGACAGTCTCATGAGGTATGTATAATTGTCCTTATTTTACAGATGAAGACACTGAGGCTCAGAGATGATCAGTGATTTGCTCCAAGTCACAGTCTTGTAATTGACTCATTTGATTTGTGCAGTTTCCAAACTACTCCATCTGGACCAGACAGCCAGGGGGAGGTGGGTATATCAGGCAAGGGTTACCGGTGATGGGTGGTGTCCACCTCTGCCACCAAAGGGTTGGTAAGGTAGAAGTTTGAACAATTCTGTCCCATCCCCCAGGGAGCAGACTTCTCTTCTTCCAGAGCTGCACAGTGATGCGGGGTGGGCCTCATGGGGCAAATGCAAACTGGAGAGTCCTGGGCCTGGTGACTATATCCCATTCTCATCACACATTGGGAAGTGATGAAAACAAGGGATGTTTAATTTCCTCTTTGCTGCCCCCAGGAATGTAGTTAGCTTCGAGCTCGGGAGCACAGGGTGAGCACTAAAAGGCCCTCTGGACGTGATCCTTAGAGCCACGGTAAGGTAGGCCAGCCTCAGGGTGGGGAGCACAACCCCAGGAGGAGCCTCGTCTTCCACAGCCAAGCACGAGCTGAAGGTCTCAGGTCCTTGTTAAAGAAGAATGAAAAACCCGGTGCAGCTATTTAAAAACAGGCAGGGTAATGTGGCCAACAGCTGCAGGGCACAGCCCAGGTAGTACCTGGGATATCATCCACCACTGCCAGCCCTGGAGAGAGAGACCTTGTGTCCCTGGCCAAGGGGGTATGTGGGTCTATTTAGACTCCCCTCTCATCCTCCTGACCCAGAGCTAGTTCATCAAGGGGTCCTGCTGACACCCTCCCCAGACTGTCTCAACAATCCCACTGCTGCCCCAGGGCCTAAGTCCCATCATCTCTGCTTAGAAATCTGGTTTGTTTCCCAACTGTTCTCCCTCTCTCTTCTCCCCACAGCCTCTCTCACAGGGAAGGACCAGGGCATCAATCCCACCTGCTGGGCTCCCTCAGGGTGAATCTGGGCCCCAGGATGTACAGACATCTCACGAGGGTGGGGGGTTGCCTCTGGGAAGGAGCTGGAAAAGACTGAGGGGAAAGAGCTGGGCTGAAGAGAGAGCCTCAGTGTGGTAAAGCACAGAGGTGGGCTTGAGTGTGAGGGGCTGTGTGCAGTGGTCTGCTGGACCAACAGGGCAGACTACTGTGCATGTCGACATTTAGATGAGAGAGGATGTGAAGACTTTGCTGGGGCTCGGAGTGACTTGTACCTCCCCCGGGATTCTAGGCCTATGTGTTTTCTAATGAGCTCTAAAATGGAAGCAGTGTGTTCCAAGGACAGGACTCAATGAAGAAGGTCCTTTGGACCAAAGAAATTGACAAGAGGTGGAGGATTTAGATTCAATGAACCTTCACTGAGAGCCTACCATGGACCCAACACTATGACAGGTACTTGCTCGTATTTAATCCCATTTAGTCCTCACCACAGTCCTATAAAGTGATGAAACTCAGAGAGGTTAAGTGACTGACCCAAGGTCACAAAGCTGGTAAATGACGGCACTAAGATTCAAACCCAGGCCTCCTAATTCCAATGTGATATGTTACAAGAGTATCTTTAGACTTTGCCAATTTCTGGACATGATGTGGAGACTTCCATGAAGGAGTCACATATTTGGGAAGCCAAATATTCAAGCCTGACATTCAAGGGAATGTCAGGTATTTTTACGTAAGCAGATTGCCCCGCCACAGAGTCTGAGTTCCCTGCCAGCTCTGTCCTATCCCAGGACACATATTCTCTGTCATGCGTTTGGTTTTGTCAGTGCTCTATAGAACTGCATTTTCAAGGACTCCATCACTCCCCAAGCATACAAATGTCTCTCCTTCATTTTTCCTGTTAAGCAGATTTAAAGAATGAACTAAGAGGACTTCCCTGGTGGCGCAGTGGCTAAAAATCCGCCTGCCAATGCAGGAGACACGGGTTCCATCCCTGGTCTGGGAAGATCCCACATGCCGCAGAGCAACTAAGCCTGTGCACCACATCTACTGAGCCTGCGCTCTAGAGCCCGCGAGCCACAACTACTGAAGCCCATGCAGCCTAGAGCCCGTGCTCTGCAACAAGAGAAGCCACTGCAATGAGGGGCCCTTGCACCGCAATGAAGAGTGGCTCCTGCTCTCCGCAACTAGAGAAAGTCTGTGCTCAGCAAAAAAAGAGACCCAACGCAGCCAAAAAAAAAAAAAAAAAGAACTAAAAATTTTGGCTGCCAATTTTTTCACCCCCTAATATTTTTTACCTCCTTTTTTTTTTTTTTTTTTTGCTTGAGCCATTTTAAAAAGCCCTTGTGATTCTTTTAATTCCCTTTGGTAGAGCAATTCCATTCTCTTCTCTCTTAACCTCCTCTCTCCTGAATGTCCCCTACCCTACCCCCACCGTGGAAAGCTTTAAATAATGCAGCAAATTCTTGTTTCATTTCCTTTTCTCTGTTCCAGATGGATTTTTCTCCCCAAAACATCCCTGGGAATCATTTCTGTCAGTTGTTTCAGTGGATGTCCCTTGGTCTTTACACTCATCTAACCTCTCCTCACCTCAAAATTGCAATTTGCTATTTTAAGTATAGTTTCTCTTGCCACACTTGAGGGTTTTTTCCTATTGCAGTCCTCTACCTTGCTTAGATTTTAATCCTTTCTTCCAGTGCAGAGAATTCATTAAGATTTCTGGATTACTCCAATTTGCTTCCTTGATGGTGAATAATTCTTCTTAGTCTGTGTATGATTCTGATCGTTCAGATGCTGAATTAAGTTGCTGAGCAGTGAGGCCAGGGTGCCACATGTGAACTAGTGGCCCCATCCAAGTGCAGATTGATTCACCACCCTGGAGATGGCACATCTCTGGGTCTGTCTGGTTGCTGCAGTCCTGGGACTGACTGTCTCCTAGACCCAAAGGGTGGCCCTAGGGCAGCTGACCACATGCCTCTACCTCCCTGACCAGCTGGTGAGAGCTCCTGGGACTGTTTCTCCTGGTGAGAGCTTTGGGTTCCATGAATTGCTCCTTGCAGGCTGGGCTGGGCTGGCCTTGACACAAACTATCTGGGTCACCTGCAGCTGTTTCCCAGGTGCCTGCTGGGCCTGTGGGCTGAGGCTGCAGCTGGAAATGAGTCTGGGCAGGAAGTGAATGGGG